TCAGGCTACCCTGTGCATAATACTTGCAAAACAAGCGAGTAGTGTATGATCAAGTGTCAAATCTCTGTCCTTATGGGATCACTTTGTAATGCCTGTATATTATTGTTTCATATTCAAAGAACGTTCAGGAAATTTCACGAAGACGCTTAATAATGCTCAAACATTAAAAATAAATAAGAGGATGAAGCACTTTACTGCAGAGTTATTTTTTGTCTTTTGACACTTGACCAAAAACTACTCGCACGTTTCCTCAGTAGTATACGCAAGTGCCGTCAAGGATATAATCTGATAGCCCCAAGTATACACAGTAGTTCTTATCCAAAGGACACGGTAAGATATCGCACAGTATGGGGCTTGGCACAATCGATCAGACACATCCGAACTCTATTTAATGTCCCTCATAGTCCTTACTTTAGAATCATATGCTGTCTGACTCCACAAGGTCACAGAAGGCATCTATTGATCTCGCCAAATTTTCGTGAAGACGCGCAACTCATTTCCATCCACATTTCGGTGGTACGAGGCCTGAGTGCATTTCGGAACCATGATTCCGATAAACACGTCCCATGAGTACTGTGCTCTTGTAATTTACTTCTCGAGAAACTTGTGTAAGTGAATATGCTTCGGGTAGAAAGGGCACTAACGCACATGGTAAAGTTAAACAATACGTTCTAAAAACTCTCTAGCTGTATCAGTAAGACAACGAAAAGATCTTTGCGTTTCTAATTTAGACTTCCATCTGAAGCTAAACCATTGATGTGAGACTTCCTCGAATTTGACTTGTGATGAATATATGAGTTCAAACTTCCCCTTTTTGGAGGGAACGAATACGTAACTATACAATGTGACTCATTCAGCAAGATTTCCACGAAGCGAAAATATGGATAGTCCATGTCGAACAAAGTGGCTGTAACTCATCGACTTTCATGTGTGTATCGACAAAAAATTACGTAAGCCGTTCGCGCAATAGCTGTCACGTGATAGCTCGTACATCGTTAATAAGTCGGATAGCTTACATAAAAAGTGTCTGTTTCCTGATTGAAGTTCATCTTCAAGCGCAAATCTGAAATTTACAAGCAATCAAAAATAGGGTGATTATTGGCGCATCTTTTGCGTGTGAGGCGATAAAATTGTCTGCCCTACATCGAACTAAAGCTAGGAGAGGAAACTAGACAAGGAAATATTGTCATTCTAACCCTGTTAACCTCCTCGTGGCGAGTTCGACCAGCTCTCCTCACTTAAGTGCTGACACCAATGCTTCACTGCCGTACAAACACCAAGTTTAGTTAATACAACTCAAAGCCTTAAAGCGAAACAGAGAGTGGATGAGGGAGGGGACCTTGTGCTGGCCTATCGCAAGCGTTCTTAGGTGCCTAGCGCTCTATCAGCAATCTGGGAAGAAACTGACAGCCACGGATTGGACACCATTTCTTGCAATATATCCAGACAACCGTACGAGAGTCAAGGGGTCCTATCCTGGAAGGCGGATCAAACCAATAACACCGTGACAAACATTCACTCCTAAAAAACGGTTCTGGGTTTGCCTAGTACGGGATACGCAGTGCATCAGAGAAAGTTCTAAACATCCGTAGCAAGACACTTTGAGGAAATCGATTTGTCTTCAGAATAGCTTGCCAAAAGCAGTAAAACTCAGCCTTCAATAGTGGAAATGTGAAGAGCTGCTTCTTTATCTATTCTGCGCTTTCGAAAGACGCCGACTCTGAGTTCAGTGGTTAAGACATGAACCTACTGGTTGTAGGGTGCGTAGTTCGACCCAACCTCAGCGACTCTACTCTTCCTGTCCTGATTTAGATCCCTGGAAGTAGCTCAATCCTTGTGCTTCCAATGAGTTGCATGGCATCCATCCACAGAAAAGATGCCATGGCTGGAAGATTGAACAAAACCTCCGTGATACTCGAATGCTAAGTTGCCTTTAATTTTAGTTTGTTTCGCCATTTTCTGTCATGGTGAACATCCAGTTCTGCCTTCTCCGACCGGCTGCACTACTCTAGATCAGCCGCTTTTGCTTCCAATGTCACATCGCCTAAAGAGGCGTGCAGCGTTTTCCAAGAACCTGATGAGTCTTCTGTTGTCCACAGCAACCTAACTCTCTCCTCCAACATTTCAGCATCTTCAGGGGAATTCAACTGAACACTGACTAGTACCGCGTGGTAACTAGACCTTTGTAGCATAAGCCAATATCAGCCCCAGTACACTCCCCATAACTGTGGTCTTTCTCAAACCTCTTTTACTTTCTTCGAGATCCTCGTGAAGGCTACTCGGTAGAACCCAATTCAGATTGGCCCCCAGTCATAATCCCTCACGAACAGATGCTGTCTGCATGTACTGACCGCATCGAAACTCCTGCATACAGGAAAGGAGAAGAGGGAACAAACCATAAACGGCCCACTCCCCTGATTCACGTACGGAAGGATGTTCAGTGCATCTTGAAGCCATGGTAACCATCTCATCGTGAACAGATGCTGTCTGCATGTACTGACCGCATCGAAACTCCTGCATACAGGAAAGGAGAAGAGGGAACAAACCATAAACGGCCCACTCCCCTGATTCACGTACGGAAGGATGTTCAGTGCATCTTGAAGCCATGGTAACCTATCTCATCGTATTTTGTTTGTTTGTTTTTCATTCTTCCGACTGTTCGTCTGGTTTAGCACGCATTTGTTGTCTCGCATCTGCCGCTTATCGCATCTAATATCTGGATTGTCGGAAACCAAAGCGAAATCTCCGGCTGACTGAGAACTGTTGCAAACAACTGATTTGACAACCAAGACACATATTTTATCAAGCCGCGGAACGCCTTTGGAACGATCACATGTCTTGGAAAACAGAAATGATGGTTTTGGATACTCTAGTCAAACAAACACGGGGTGTTGTTCGAAAAATATTTTCAAGGGCAGAGAGACGCTAGCGTGGTGAGACGAACCAAAGTCCATAGGTTTTCGAATTACGGTTGCTTCTCTCTCTCTAGGTATGGACCTACGTTTAGGTTGCCTTCTGAAGCTCTTTTTGAATTTTTGGACCTTGAAGAGGACCCCTTACAGCTGAAAGCTTGGTCGAAGTTTTTCTCAGTGCTAAACGATTCATGACCCTGGTTCGTTAGATGTGAAGCCATAGGTCTTGGCGTTTCTAAATGTACTCGGTCGCAGAGTTTAGGGGCCGTCTACGGGAAACCCGACGAGAACAGCTGTTTTTTGTATGCCCTATGGTGATGAACCACGTACAGGCCCATGAACCAATGATATATCCTGCTCCTTCCACGTTGATCTAAAATCAATGATGCTACTTGTTCACGTGACTCATCAAAGTAGAACAGCAGCAATAGCAAACAAAAACAGTCTTTCTCCTCTGCTGGTGCAATTATTCTGATGAGTTCACACCAAAGATGCTCAAATTTCGCTCTTATTAAAGCGATGGGGCTACCGCTACTCCACCGGTGCACTCAGGACGAATCTGGATTTCCACATATGAACAGGCGAACATGCTCAAGATTAAGCAATGTGATTGGCTCGCCAGATTTGTAATACGGCATAAAATTATGCTGCCCACTCCCACCACTGTGACAACCATCGTTTTGTTATCACCGAGCTCCTCTCCAGCCCTGATGTTTAATCACTGCCAATCACCAGCAATTCACTTGTTTACTGGGCCATTCAAGGTCGATAGCTTTGTACAGATGATGTACAACCCCTTATAGTGAGATGGTTCATAACACGCACATGGCAACGTAGTTCTGATCACATTGTCTTGTTCACGGATGTCCAAAGTCCCAGAAACGACGGGATATCAGTCGGAAACCTCAGTTTATGAAGAAGGGAAATTTGAGAAAAGACAGGAGGAGAAAATTTGACCCTGTTGTGACTACCTGACCGTGCCAGACTGACCTCACAACGCATAAATATTTAACAATTAATCGATCTTGGGTCTCCAGGATCCTCGTTTCTCTTGGCTGGAAAAATGGAAAGGAAACGAAGCCTAATCGATATCAGTGGCGTTCGTGCTCTCAGGTTCTTCTCAGGTTATTTGTCTGAGGGCTTGGGGTTGCCGATACCCCAGAATTGTTTTGATTGGCCAGTACCAGGTTCGCTCTCTCACTCTAAGGCTTCGAATATAGTGAGATAAACTTTGTGGTTGTACGGCAGGGAAGCCTCAGCGTCAATACTGATGTTGCTGTTTCTGATGACGATGTCGATGATGACGATACTGATGGTTATGATCACCACAAAAGATCTGATGGCCTTAAAGTTGCCCGGATGTCTACACTAGAGATAGTGAAAACACATCCAAGGAGACTTTTTGTTCGTGACGTTTGTTAGGCGTGATTTTTTCGAAAACGGATGAATTCTCTGGGTACACAGGAAGAGTTCTACTGGGAACCATGGGCGAATCGCGCTAGCGATATTCCCGGTCGCCTCAGAAAGAGTGAGAATCGCGATAGACTGAATGTGACGCTCTTGACGTGTTAAGTTCACAGGCTTTTTAAACAACACAGATTTTTCAGACGCTTTTTCAACGTTTTCCTCTCAGCTTTCATCAGTTTCCCCATGGAGAAACCCCCTAAAGTGGACACATTTTGACTGTTCCATCATCAAATCTCTCTAGAGAGGTACAGCTGCAATCGTATTTTCCAAATTAGATTCCTAGACTGACGAAATTTGAAGTACTGATGAAAATGCGTTAGTAGCCTTTACGCTAAGTAGCCGCCCAACAGATTTTAGTGCAGACCGAATAAATAGCCGTTATTTTTAGCGGAATACACTCATTTGCAAATGAGTGTACTTTGCCAATCTCGTGAAACCTGGATCCAAAGAGAACATGAGGTTGACGGAAACTCGGTGACTGCGCCTACCTGATGAACCCGAATTGAAAAGGTGAAACCTGTCGTGGGCTATCGAAGACTTTCCGGAAACCTTACGAGTAGTGTATTACGTCCAACCAGTATTTCTTTCCTTCTCTGCTGCTACCCTAACGTTTCTAGAAGCTTAGCAATGGGTGTTGATAAAAAATGGTAGGAATAGATTTTCGTTACTTATATAGACTGTATTTCCACTGTTTTTTCCCATCTTCTCAACTTTAAAACGCCATCTATCATGAGGGATATTCAGGATAATCACTTAAATGTTTGATGGATACATATCAATAACCATGGAATTCGTCATTTCAGAATTCCATTCTTTCTTCCACTCAACAAGCTGACGTGAAATTGTCATGATTGCTCTCACTCCAGATGACCCGATTTCGAGTTTCAGATCGACTACTGATATTCACTACTGACAATCTCCAGCAAGAGCAAAACTCGAATACAGTTCCTTCTGTTTTGAGAGTGAACTAACCGAAGGGACATGAGATGACAAACAATTACATACTGCATCTACCCACGAGTACTCAGAAGTTTTAGACGTGTTTTAATTTTCCAAAAAACTATCTGACCAAAAAATCGCAACTTGCCTGCTAGAAGAGTAGTTATCTGCCCATCCAACGGGGCTTCAGTTTGAACAAACTTTCAGAAGCGTCCGCAGACAGCCGTGGGTCATCGTTTCTAGCCAGAAAACCACTGGCTGTTTGCCTCAAAAGGGCGACGCATCAATCAGTTTCGAATTTTTCTAGTTGAGTGAAAACGTGACTTCGCAAAGGAACATAAACGTCCTCATCTCCCAAGATGGGATATCTCAGCTGCTTCGAAGCTGTACTGGTGTACTGCTTCTACATGCCAGCCTCATACTCTGGAAGGAATTCCTCGCAACAGGGCCACTTCGAGGATATCACCTAGGTTGGCAGCGACACATCAGCGGCAAGCTTACCGATAGCTCATCGAACAACCTAGCCTGAACAAACGATCCCAATTTTTCGAGAAACACTCATTTGCAAATCAATTTGGTCTTCACGAGAGACTCAACTGAATCTCTCGTTCATGACGTTCTACAACTGAATGTGCTGCACACAAGCCGCCTCATGTTTCAGTTGGCACGATATTCGAGATATCGCAGTACACTTTCATGAAGGAATCTACTCACAAGGTTACTGAAAACTCTTCGACATCCTACGACCGGTTTCATCCTTTCGATTCGGGCTCATCAGGTAGGCGCAGTCCCCGAGTTTCCATCAACCTTATGTTCTACTTGAACCCAAATTGGACTGTTTTCGAGGGCCCAAGAAGAGCAAAACCGGTCGTGGGCTGCCGAAGAGTTTTCAGCAATCTTGCGAGTAGTTTCCTTCATGAAAAAAGATTACAATTTTTCTTAGTTATCAATCTGTTACACTGAAAGTTTGGCTTCTTTATGCAACGTTAACGTCTGGCGTTTTGTGGTCTTCTGCGAAGGAGACATTAGGTCGAAAAGGCAAGTTTATTCACTGTGCTTCTACGAACTTTCCCACGAGGCAAACAGGTGATTAATGAAGCATAAGAACGGAAAATTGACAAGCCGTACTGAAAAAAAAACAACTTGCTGAATAAATTGCTCTTGTGTTATTGTTAGACATGTCTAGTCTAAGGCCAGGCGAATTTATGCGTTCCTTCATCAATCTTTCCAGGTCTGTTGTTCAATCGATACGAAGCTTCTGCTCAATCAATGAACTGTGAACAGTTCCGTCTGCCACGCTGAACATTTTTTCGGTATTCTTTTTCGGTAGAATTTTTTTGCTGTTGATCAACTTGGTCACACAGTGTAGAAGTAACGCGTACTTCTTTACACAGGTGGCTCGTCATTTTGAAGCAAACGCAGGAAATTTTTCAATCACGAAAGCGGAATGTTCATTTACTGAAAACAAGCGAGACGAATTTATGAAAACTGTCGAGAACTGTTGGTTCAATGATTCCTATCCTTTCATCCCAGAACTCTGTGTACGACGTTTCAGCACGGTCTGAAGGAATGTCTGAATTGTAACTTGGTCAATGCCTCTTCGTTCCTGGTCAAGAACATCCACCCGTTCAGCTCTGGAGTCTAGATGTTTAGTGTGTCCCCGTGGCTTTCGATCGGTTTAAGCTCCGGAGTACAAGCCTACCAATTTAATAACTCGATGGAATGAAACAGGGGGCTGCCAAATGTGCTTTGAGAACTTTGAATATCACCACGCACACACTTGTAGTCACTAAAAGCAATGAGAACACATCAAGTGGAACATAGGGTTGATAGAAGCTCGGGGAATGCGCCCGCACGATAAGCCTTGGGAAGCGGCAAACCGGTAGTGGGTTGTTGAACAGCTGTCAGCAGACATGTAAGTAGTGTGTCAAGTCAATAGTATTGATTGTTTCCAGCAACCACTTGAGCCACGTTGAGTTACCCGCGAAATTCCGAAATTGAAATCGTTCCAACGTGATACAATGAATACAATAATTAAATTTCACAAAACTCATATCATGAGATCACGCCAGCTTCTGTTTGCAGGTTTAGGAACTGCTAATTCCAAATGAGATCCCAAAGTTCACACCGACTCAAGTGGATACAAGACAGCGAAACTCATGTGGTTGATTTAAACTAGACGTGAGATGCTAAGATCAAAGAGTGCTTTACACGCAGGTCAAAATAGGGAGGGCTGAAACAATAAAACGAAAGACCCCTTTGTGCAAAACAAGAATATAGAAAAATAATAAACAGAGTCTCGAACGTCACGCATTATCGCTAAGTTCCTTGGGCTGCGAAGGAACCAAAAAACACAGCGTCCACGCTTAGTTGTCCAACTGTCTGACAAGCACGAACTCCTGTCAATACGAAGTGAAAGTTTTTCCGTCTCTGCAGATGATATAACTCGACTGATGATCCCAGACGACAAAAGTCCCGGCTGAAGATAATTGATGCCGTATCTGAGGCTGTATGTGGTCAGTACACTGTATCATTTTCTTAAACTTCAAAAAATGCTGTCACTTGGAGCAGTTTTTGCGCGGGTGTGAGCTTCGAGGCACTCGTAGTTGACATGGGACGAGAAGAATCATTCTCCAGACACAGAACGGCTTGCTTGGTTCCTCAATCGGTCTGTACAGTAGTGTTTTACGACCCTTCTGGATGGTCTGAGCTACGTTGCGACATCCAACTTAGGTCTCTTTCCTCTCTGTGTCAGAAGGTTGGACTATATTAGCCTTAGTTTAGCTGCGATAGTTTGCTTGATCGTGAAACTCTGATCAATCAAGGGTCACCCGTGTGACACGTGTCACGAGGGTGTAAGCCTCCATTCTAAGAGAGACTGCGTAAAAGACACTTTTCGGCAGTACGCTACCGGCTCCATCTATCTTGGAGTTCATCAAATGAGTACGGTCCTCGAGTTTCCATCAACCTCATGTTCTGTTTGAACCCCAATTGTACAAGATTCGCGAATCACGTTCATTTGCAAACTGAATTTTAAAAAAAGGGTCTTGTATTCCTCGCTGCTTAAAAGCAATGTTTTGGCTTATTCCCCAGTCAGATTTACGAGAGAATGGTATGTAGAAGTGCGCTGTCACGGAAATATAATGTCCTCATCTGAACAGTCAAAAAACGAGTTGAAGCACCAAGTGAGCCACTATCTTTCCGCAGAACTGCGTAGTCAGTTA